CAAATCGTTATAAGATTAATTTGTTCTGTGAGTTACAAAAAACTTTAAAAGGCCCACATTAATTGCAATCCTATGGGAGTATTAACTAAAAATATGGAGCTGAGTGTGGACACTCTACCTCTTGCACACGGAGGTCAATTTATACAAAAAATATATAATTATAAACAAAATTGCATTATTATTCATCCAGTGAAACGGCACGCACGTTTGTTCCATGCAAATTAAGCAGCTATTGTGAGAATCGGGTAATAATTGAATGTTCTTGGGCTATTTTCTCTTCTGGTTCCATGTTGTTATAATATAATGGGCAGTAGGGAATCTGGAATATACCTAATTATGGCCACTAGATGGAGCTACAGATCAAAGGAAAATGAATACATTAAACTCTCTGTTATCCGGTATTCAAGTAACCAGAACTTTCATCTAACCGGCAAAAAAAAAAACCTGTGCAATCACTGCTGATCTGCGACCTTCTAGGAGGGAGAGAGGGCTCTGCAGCATCGGTAGGTAGAGAAACAGGGCAAAAAGTGCTCTATTATCCTGGTAATGAGTGTCTGACAATCGTCTGTGAAAAGTGCTCTATTATCCTGTTAACGATTGTCTGTGAACAAGCGCCACCTAGTGACGACTACCAGTACTGCACTGTATTGCTCATAGATTACAATATACTGGTCTCCAGTCCCAATGTCAGGCAGCCCCAGTGCACACAGTCTTACAGCACCTGTATTACAGCAGTAATACTACGTGTGTCTATTTGTTTTCATTTGCTTTGATTACTTTATTTCAATATTAAGATGAAGTCAATACAGAGTTTATATTATGGTATGGTATAGCGTGAGGTATAGAATTAGTTAAACTTATTTTTAATAGTAACTCTCAAGTAACCAGAAACTACATTTATCCAGGAATCTACCAATTCCATGGATGCCGGATAACGGGGAGTTTACTGTACATTGCAGTAACAAGAGATACAATGTAACAATTTGAGAGAAGGCTAGAGGGAATTAGCAGATAAATGTAACCATCACTACTCTGGGGATTCAAACCAATGTACAAGCAATTTCAATGGATGAGTCCCCTTGCTATAGAGTCCTTGTTATAGCTGTGAATGGTGGGGGAAGGAAAAGACACAGTACACCTGAACTCCAAGCAGATATTTAAAGAACTTCAGGTAAAAACAAAACTTGCCCCCGGACTGGACCCTTGCAGTGGGGCTACCGCTCCCCCCTTGCCCCCGGACTGGAAGGGTTAAGTGATCATTTTGTCTAGAGGGCTCACATAACGCTGTATTACTCACCTGATCCTCTGTCCATTGGTGGTCAGCAATCCCCTCTCTTCCCTTCCACTCTGGCTTTGGAATGTCCCTCGGTGTCCCCTCATCTAATGCGGGTCAATGGACCTGCATAAGATATGATAACATCAGTGGTCCTTAGAGCCCAGGGGGGAAGAGGCTGTGGGGACTAGTTTAGCAGCCTGGAGGGAGCCAGCAGGACCGAGGATCAGATGCTTTAATAGTGTCTGGTAGACAAACAAGCACTTAACCCTTGCAGTTAGCCTCCTGTAATACTCAGCACAACAACAAGGGACAGATTTCTGCATGTCAGAACACAGATTATGGCTTAGGGTGGCAAGGCTCTCAAGAATGTTCTAAATATTCACAACACTCTGAGCCAATGGGGCCACTAATATGATGCCAGTCAAATAGCTGAATTGATGAAGTAAGTGCAGACTAGCTTTTAATTATTTCAGTTTTATTGGTTTTCAATATAGAGTGCACACAATACATTTATATGGCACCATGTATCCAAGTCCTAAAGTCAATAACAGCAATCTAAATGCAAGTTACCATATAAGGAACAGCGTCCAGAACCGCCCCAAAAAAACATGGAAAGCATGCGTGCAGAATAGCTTCATTGGAGCTCTGCTGCATATTTTATTTTCCAATCACAGAATGGGGGCGGGTTCTAGACCGTTCTGTATTACTTAGTTGCAGTGTTGTCTGCAGGGAGACCAAGGATTTAGCTATGCTGTCTGGCAAGGGCCCCCTAATCACTAGACTGGATGGGCAGAATCACACATATATTTCCTTTAATTGTGTATGTAGATTTTTTTTTTCTGCTCCAAAATAAAGTGGACGCAAATAACAAAGTGCTCTGGGTGTCAGCATTAGGAGGTTGGCTAATTTGCACTTTAGCTGCCATCCTTGTTTCAGAATGTGTTTTCAAAAAATATTGAAAGGCATAGTCCACTTTTAAAAAAAAGAATATTAAATACGCACTTCTTCATAGAAGAAACAAATGTGCATTGTTATTTCTTAGCATTGGAGCCAGAATACATTGCAATCCTGATCAGTAGATGGTGGGTGCAATGCTCTGGCTCCTGAAGACTCTTCCTCCCGTACATGTCTGTACCGCGGCATGGATATTCAGCAAGATAGAGAGAGAATGAATGGTCTACAAGTGCTGTGATGTCAATGCACTTGTATTCCACTGAGAAGTCCCTCTGCCACAATGGCTAATGGGACATCTTCATCCTGTCAAAGGATCTGTAAATGGATAATGTGCCGTGTGGGTGCAGCCACGCACATCTGTGCCGAATTGTAAAAGAGCAGCAGTCTGTAGGGAGACAAACCCCCCGATTCAGGTAATAGGTGGTGGGGGGGGGGGGTTGAATTAGTACTGGGGGGTGACGATGTGAACATGTTCACACCCTGAATATGGGAGTAACATAAAACATGGTCAGAAAAGCAAACTTTGCCTTTACTGCAATA